GGCAGGTCAGGAGAGGTCTGCCACGCCATGTGGTCAACCCCGGGGCAGGCGGGAATCGAACTCATGCTGCAGTGGCTTCAGCTTCTTAGTGCTGTGCTTTAACCCGCTGTGCCACCAGGGAGGGCCTAGGCTGCATTTTTAAAAAATCTGCACAGCAAATTTATGTGGGAAATATTGTTACTATTATTTATTATTGAATAAGGAAACTGAAGCACAAAGAGTTTAAGCAATTTGCCTGACAAGATAATAATGGCAAAGCCAGAATGTGGGTTCTTGTCTAACACTAAAGGCCTAACTTGTAGCCACCCTTTCCCTTTCTACTTTACCCTCAATGACTTCATGATCTAAAAAGCGACACTGAATTACTACTTTAGGGGATCCTTTCTCACCTCATACAGTGTTGTAGCTGGGGACTCCAGGCTGGCCACATTCAGGTAATCTTACATTGTAAGAAGAACAGTGAGAAGCAACGTCCAAGCCAATGGGTGGTGCTAATCGCCAACTTGATGGTATAAGTTGGAGGCTTTCTAGACTCCACCCTGATGTCAACTAGGTGGAGGTCAGCTTATGGCCACTTATGGCTTTGGCTTGGACCTCAGTCTCTGCTCAGCAGACACTAAGGTAGGACAGAGGCATCAGGCCACATGTAAGCCTGTGAATTCTCACCCCCACCCCCTTCCCTCTTACTCCCTGTTGAATAAACACCATTATTGTTATTTTACAGTGTGCCTGCTTTTGGGTCATGTCCTACAGTCATCAGTGCATGGATGGGGCCCACCCACCAGTGACCCAACCAGATTTGCTCAGCTTCAGAACTTCTGAAAGGCATATTTCTGGTGGGCACTCTGAGAACTGCTTTTTCAGTTCTTGAAACAACTGTCCACAGGACTAACTTCTTAACTAGTGTATTCTTCCCTCTAGTTTTTAACATGTGAAAAGGATGTTTCAGGTTGACTGAACTGACTTCACTTTGTGCCCAAGACTTCTTACTGACCTCTTAAGTTGGAAAAAAAAAACAAAAAACAAAACAAACCTACTGACTGGCAATGAAACAAAGTTTCCAGCTAGACATGCTCTTCTTCTATAACTATACAAATTTTATTTTTCTCTTCTCTCCATAGTAACCCTGGTCAGCTTCCTGGCCTGACTAAAACCCAAGCATGTTCCTACAGGCAGCAAACTAATGACACTTGGGTGTCCCTCCAAGAGAGAACCTGCCACTCAGAAAGTGCTGGACTGACAACTGCATTTACATAACTTGAAGAACTGTTCACACTTGCTGCTTCTGGAATTAGAAACCCTGGCTACAGGATTTCCATGTGCTATAAGAACATGGAGGGGGTCAGCCCTTTAAACAGTCACCTGGTGCAGGTAAGATTCATGACAACTGAAGTTTCCATACTTTTCTAGGTACTAGGTAGTATGGAAACAAGGCAAAGTTCCAAGCTGCCAGTAGAGCACTTCTTTTGTGCTTTTGCCATCTCTTGAAATATATTTTAAAAATAATTTCTTCAGGAAGAAGTGAAATGATAAATTTAAAATCCTGGTTAGCTCTGCCATAACCAAGCATATGACATATAGCAATAACAGATGGAAATCATACCAGATTCTGAGCATGGGAGAGTACAATTTTATTTCATTTTAATTTTTTTAAAGATTTATTTATGTATTTGATAACTGGGATTCAGACCAGAGTTGCAGGGGGTGGGTGGGTAGGAGGATTCAGAAGAGACAGAGTAGAGAGGAGAACAGACAGATCTATTGCTGAGAGGAGCAATGGGCAAGACAGAAGAGATCTGTGTCATGTGGGTCAGCTCCCTGGCTGGGGATCAAATTCGTGCTGCAGTGGCTGCAGATAGCTTCATAGTGCTGCACTTTAACCCACGGCATCACCAGGGAGAGACCAGTATAATTTTATTACATTCACGGTTACCTAGAGAGTTACAAATTATAATTAGCCCTCTTCACTCCCAATGAATAAGTTAACTGACTCATTTTTAAACAAACGTGCTAAGAAATGGACAAATTTTTCACACAAACTTCACACCATAAACAAGTGGAATTTCAGAGATACAAGGATGGTTCAATATATGCAAATAAATTAATATAACTCACCATATCAATGAACACAGGGAAATACAAAATCATATGGTTATATCAAAAGGTACAGAGAAGGCATCTGCTAAGAATCATCATCCATTTATGATACCATCTCTTAGAAGAAGGAAAATACTTCAACACAATAAAGGTCCTATATACCAAATCCACAGCTAGCATCAAACCCAATGGAGAGAAGCTGAAATATTTTCCTCGTGAGCACAGAAGTCTAATATCTTCTAGAAAAATTACATCCATGTTCTGTGATGACTTGGCAATCATAGTAGCTGCCATTAATGACAAACCAATGTTATCTTTCCCCAAACAGAAGGCTTCCAGGGCATCATCCAGTGTTCAGTGATAGCAGCTAACAGCTGGTCACTGGGCTAACAACCCAGCAGGAGAATGACTTCACTGAGTCACTGAGTGGAGTCGATAAAGATGTGGCAAGAGACTGCTGGACACAGCAGATAAGGCCACCTTGTGACAAATAAAAGTGGCACCAGATTCTGTGATTTGTTTGAAAGGGAATCTAGGATTCTGTGCTCCAGGTTATAAGAACAATCTGTGCTCCAGGTTATAAGACTGTGCCCATGGGCTTTAAGTACCAATTTGGGACACACCCTCCCGTCCCATCATTATAAGATCAGACTATGACTCCTTCAGGGATGCCAATCTGTCTTCCCATTGTTGTTTCAATTTTCAGTTGAGTCTAACCTCTGCTTTAGCTCCATAAAAACATAATTAGAGAACCAAGTCACAGAAAATAGCATTAGTGACAGCAGCCATAAGAAAGCACTAACCCAGCTGGGAATTCACTAAGAACGCTAGAGCTAGGTCCTTGTTACTAGCCATCTGGTTATGCTCTTTGCTAAGAGCCACGGTATCTGCAAATCGTGAGCTGCATCAGCAACCATAAAATACAAGATCCATCAAAACTAGGAGATTGGGATCTTTGCAAGAAGTTTAACTGAGTTGACATTACAAGTGCGGCTGTGAAGCCACGAAGGGAAGTCAGAGAGGTGAAAGCTCCCTTCACAAGTTTAGCGATAGGATTGAAAAGGGCTTATGATCAAGAATCTTCAGAGCGGGGTGGAAACTAGAAAGGCGTGGCTCAAAGGACGGAGATAGCTAGTGGGGATCAAACTTCTACTACTGCAGGACCATTTCTACTAGGCAAAGAACCCTGGGAAATTTTTTCTTTGTCAAGTTCAATCATTCCCAAAGCAATAAAAACATGAAGATTTCCATCAATGGGTAAGCAAAATGTGGCACAGACATACAACAGAATATTACTCAGATTATTTTTTTAAAAGATTTATTTATTTATGCATACAAGAACTGGGGTACAGGCCAGAGGTGGAGGAGGGTGAGAGAATTCACCAGGGACAGAGTGGCAGATGTACTGAAATACACTGTTGAGGGGAGCAATGGGAGAAACAGGAGAGGGCTGCTGCACCATGTGGGTCACCTCCCTGTTTGGCCAGGGATGGAACTGGTGCTGCAGGAGCTGTGGATAGCTTCATAGTGCTGTGCTTCAACCCCTTGCACTACCATGGAGCCCCTTCCCTAAAGACTTTTAATACTAGTTTCTTTCTTTCTGTATTAAATTTTAAGAAGTTAAAATAGTTAATATTTATATAGTACACATTCTCAAAGCTCTTTCAGAATTCGAAGAAAAGGAATAACTTAGCAATTAAGCTAATTATTGGAGCAGTAGGGCAAAATAATTTGCACCAAAGATGAATGAGTTGACCTTATGATCACACAATTGCGTCTATTAGCTTACTCATGTAAACTTTGACTTCATCTTTTCATTTTGCACATCATTTCAAGTGAGGCATGATCTTAAAGAATTGTGGGATTCATCTAGGACTGGCAGGGGCAGATAGCCAGTTCAGACTAAAGAATGTTAGAGCCTTTGAAGTTTCTTTTAAACCTATTTGAAAAGTTGTCTTAATAGAACTGTAACAGCTAATGTAATCAATGTATGATCTGAATTACACCCAGGATCAAAATCTGGGTGGGGTGAGGAGGAAGTTATAAAGGACATCACTGAAAAAGTTGGCAAAATATAAATATGCTTATAGCCAATCCTGATTTTGTAACTGTGCTCTAGTCATGTAAAAGAATTTCCTTGCCCTTAGAAAATAAGTGCTAAAGAACTTAGAAGTAAAGAAAAGAAGCATTTTACTATCAAATCTGCAGCTTATTCTCAAATAGTTCAGAAAAAAAAATTATGCAACAGGATATATCAAGAGAAAAGGATAGAATCGTGGCAAAGTAAGAATTGAGGAAGCAAGTAAAGAGTAGGGGGTTCTTTGTACTATATTTAACTTTCAGAAAGAAGGAAATAATTTCAAATTAAAAATGTACAATAAAAGTTTGAACCTGAGATAATAGCACATTCTTGTGTTTCTATGATCCAAAATAAGGTTAAATAAATATGGTATGATAAGTACATCTCTCAGTTAATTTAAGTTTCGTATTAGTGGTATTATTAACCTGGAAATCACTACTTGAGTTCTATTTGATTATAAAATCATTGAATCTCCGAAGGTTAGAATGCAACTGAGAAGACCCAACAACTCAAATAAACACCCACATTTCCTAATATCACACCAAATGAATTAAATAACATAAAGGGAAGCAGGGTATGAATCATGAATCAAGCACAGAAAATATTGTTCTACCTTGAGTCGCTATTGATCTCAGTCCAGCCCAGTTTCCATGATACATGAAGCAAAAGTCCACCAATTAATGTCTGCCACCTGAAAAGGGTAAAGGCGAATGTGATTTTGTTAAGGGGAAGGATGTCCTAAAGGAACTCTGCAGAGTCTTATGGACTCCACCCCCTACTCCAGTGATTGGAAACTACAACTCCCAGCAGTACCAGGGACAGAACTGCGAGGACCCAAGGGTGGAGCTAGCAGGAACTTGGGGACATTTGGGGGATAAGTAGGGTGCGATTGGATCTTGCGCGCGCACGCTCTCTCTCTCTTGCTGGGGAAGCAGCTCTCCTGACCATGTGACTCGGTGTGTTCAGTCAGCCTAGACCTAAGGTATTCCACTTACTTTGTATCCCGCTCTCTTTCCCTGGCTTGTTTCCTATTCCTTTCCCCTTTTGTAAATAAACCCATTATTGACCCTTTTGTGTGCACCTGCAGTGTAACCGAATTGTGAGCACATGGGTGAGGGCCCACAGACAGGGGGCCCAGTCCACTCTGAGCTACCCTGTAACAATTTAACAGAGGGACATAGCCTCCAAACCATCCAGCCTCAGCAGGTCTACCAACTCACAAATACACACACCTGATCCTTCTTACAACTTTTGTCTCCTACACTCATCTGCTCAACCTCTGTTCTCCCCTTTCGGCCAATGGCCCATTCAGCATTGACATTGATACTCTTTTTATTCTAAACTTTTCCTGAATTGACTCATCCACCGCTGCTTCTCCCCCATTAACTCTACAGTGGTATTTCCAACTCCCCATCCTCAACAGGATACTCCCACCCTGATAGCCCTCAAGCTCCCAAACATAACAAGAATAAAACCTTACCTTAAGAATCTCCCTGGTGGCACAATGGGTTAGGACACAGTACTGCAAGCTGGCGCAGCTGCTTTAGTGTGAGTTTGATCCCTGGCCCCAGAGGTGACCTGCCCGCTGCTCCCCTCAGCAGTGCACTTGTTCATCTGCCTGTTCTGCTCCCCACTCTGTCTCTCGTGAATCCCCTCACGACCCCTGCACCTCTGACCTGTACCCCAGTTCTCTATGCATAAATAAATAAATCTTTTAAAAAAAACCTTACCTTGAACTTCCCACTCTCTAGTCAGATCATCTTAACCCTTAACAGTCAAATCCAAAATCTAGATGTACCCTAGCTCGGCCTCAGTCCTCACCTCCATCATCAGTTTGCAAAACTGATGTTATTCCTAAAATTGATGTTATTCCTAAAACAGCTGTCAAATCTGAGCTTTCCACATCATCTGTGTGTCTAATTCAGACTCTCATCTCATACCTAGACCACAACATTGGTCGCCCATGCTCCTGGCAGTCAAAGTGTTTGTTCTAAAATGCAAAAAAAAAAAAAATCAACACTGTAGAAAGTGTTGATTTTTCTGAGGCCCAGACAGCAGCTCTCAGCCTCTTTTCTGAAAGAAGACACTTGGGTCATGAAACACATTTTCTTACAATGAAGGGGTTAAGAGGAGCATGGGACATAAACACCCTTCCCTCTCCCACTGCAGAGAGCTCAGCCACATACCAAGTGAGTAAGGGCACGTACCTTTATCCTATCTCACCCTAATGGTTTTTTTAGGTGAATCATCATAAATTATAAAACTTTCTTTTGTTATGACTTGAGACCCTTCACTTTAGATGTAACTACAACACAAACATTTGTTGCAACACTGCAGTTGAGAACCCCTGAACTACAGAACAAGATTACTTATGTGTGTGATGCTCAAGCTTTTGGGACCTTGTACCCGCCCCTCCCCCAGGATTGGCTCTATTCCAGCTACACCAAATGGCCCAGTGTCTCAGCACTAGCTCCTTTCACCCATAAGGACTGCATGTGCAATCTTCAGACCCATAATGGTCTTCCCATCTCCTGTGTGCCAGTCTCCCTGCTCATCCTATAAGATCCAGTCTTCTTTTTGAAGCCTTTACTGGCACAGCCAGGAAAATCACACAGCAATAGCTCACACCTTCAAATAGCCAAGTCTAGACAGTAGTTCTTCAGTCACGTGGACTATTTCTTTTTATGTTTTAGTTTTTTAAAAAAGATTTATTTATGCATACAGAACTTGGGTACAGGCCAGAGGTGCAGGGGCGGTAAGAGGATTCACCAGAGACAGAGTGGGGAGCAGAACAGGCAGACTGACGGAGGGACAGGAGAGGTCTGCTGTGCAATGTGGGCCACCCCCCTGGCCAGGGATCAGATTTGTGCTGAAGCCGCTGCTGCTGTCTTCACAATGCTATACTTTAACCCACTGCGCCTCCAGGGAGGGCCCCATATGGACTATTTCTGAAAACATTTTTGGTTGTCACAACTGGGGACATGGGAAAGAAGGGTTAATGCTGGCATGTGGTGAGTAAAGGAGGGAACATCCTACAATGTGTAGAACAGCCCCACAACAAAGATTAATTACCCAGCTCAAGATAGTAACAGTACTGAGTTTAAGAAACCCTGGTCTAGTGGGAAGTAAGCTACTTGAGTAATAATTACAAAGTCCGATAAAGTCACAATAGGAAGAATACCGGGTGGCACAGCCAGACTAGAGATAATCTAGTTTAGTAAGTTGGGCAAGTCTTCTTAAAAAAGGAACTATATCAGCAAAAACCTGAATCATATAAAAAAGCAAAAGGCCCAGAATGGGCCTAGAGGTAAGAGAAACAATGGCTGGCTTGAAGCCCAAATAAATTCATCTGGCCGCATCACCCAAGTTCCAAGCAGGGACTTCCAAACAGGGACCAACTGAGGGGTCTGAACTATGTAAAAGACACTGTCACATTTACATATGGGAAAACACCTCTTTACAAGGGAGAGGAAGTCTTTGAGAGAAGCAAGATCAGGGAGTTTCCATTAGGAGTTATTAGATTTAACTGAGAGGTGACAGCAACCCAGGAAGGAGAAATTTGAATGAAAACGGTAGACAGATTCTAAAGCTGTCTAGGGGGTCCTGGTAGTTAATCAGATGTTGGGGATGGAAGATAAAGACAAAGATATAAAGAATAATTCTTAGTCAAGCAACTGAAGAAGAGAAGGTGCCATTCACTGCAGGTAGATTTATGCAACAGGTAGAAGAGAAAAGCAAACTCCAGGAGGGAAAGGACCTTTGTTTTTTTCATTGATGCATCCAAGACTCTAGAACAAGTACCTAGCACAGGATGAAATCAATAACTACTTGCAGAATGAATTACTCTGCCTTCATTGAATTTCTTCATGTGCCAGCCACTGTTTTCAGGCATACTTCAGCTACAACATGTATCTTAAAAAAAAAACTTGCCTATGTAGACCATACATTCTATTCCAGGGTGGGTAGGATTGGGGTACATTTGGTCTGAGCCAACCACAGACAAGAAGGGACAAAGACAATTCGGGTTAAAGATCATACTTTCCCACATAATTCCCCAAACTCCCTTTACCTAGAGAGAAGTGAAAGAGCAGCCGAGATCAGAAAATCATTCCTATTCACTAAAGAGAAACATCGGCTGGTCTGAAGCCTCAGATAAATCCTGGCTGGATTAAACAATACACAATCATACAAACACTGTAAAAGTTTCTCCATGTAATGGTAAGGAGAAACCTGACAAAGTAATTCTAAAGTTCACCTAAAATAATACCTTGGTGATAACATTAAGAACTTTTTTAAAGAGCAAGAATGAGGATAACTTGCTTGACCACATATTTAAATGTATAATAATTAAAATAATTTAGCCATTGACCACTTAGTAGGGAAACTCAAGTCAAAGCCACAATGTGCTACAATCTCACACTTGTAAAAATGGTTCACCTCAAAAAGCCTGCTGGGCCCTCCCAGGTGGCGCAGCAGGTTAAAGCACAGCACTGAGAAACTAAAGCCACTTCCGCATGAGTTCGATTCCCGCCTGCCCTGGAGGTGACCACATGGCGCGGCAGACCTCTCCTGACCTGCCCGCTGCTCCCCTCAGCAGTGTACTTCGTCAATCTGCCTGTTCTGCTTCCCCTTTGTCTCTGGTGAATCCTCTCACCCTCCACATCTCTGGCCTGTACCCCAGTTCTGTACGAATAAATAAATCTTAAAAAAAAAAAAAAAGCCTGCTGAACAACCATTGGCCAGAATGTGGAAAAAAAGAAAACCTTAGACAGTGTTGATGAGAATGTAAATTAGTGCAGTCATTTTGAAAACTGACATGGGTCTTCCTCAGATAACTAAATACAGAACTATCATAGGATTCAACAATCCCATTTCTGGGTATCTGGCCAAAGAATATGAAATTTTCAACTCCAATAGCCAAATGTACCACATTGTACATCGCAGTATTATTTACAATAGCTAAAAAATGTAAGTAACTTAAGTTCTCGTTGATAGATGATTGGACAAAGATAGGGTAATATACACACAGTAAAATACTATTCAGGTATAAGATGAAATTTTGCCTGCAAAATGGCAGGAACTTGATGGGATTCCATGACGCAAACTGAGAAAGATGATTTTGCCTGTATGTACAATAATATAAGGAAATAAATAAATGAACAGTCAAAACAAACAAACAAAAAAACTCATGGACAGTAGTGATCAAATTGAGATGAAGTAGGCAGATATGTGTGCAAGGAGTCTAGGGGACATAATGGGTAACGGTGAATGCTTCTTTGTGTTTGCTGCTGTTGTATAACAAAATAATACTAAAAATATTTTAAAGAACAGTTAACAGTACTGGCTGGACACTTCCTACAAATGTATATAAAGAACATAAAAGATACTCACCCTTGGAATAATGTAGGGTATGTAAATTTCAAGACAGACAGGACATACTGAAAAACAAATACCAGATTAATGGACATTTTCAAATTATAGAGAATTGATACATTGTATAATCTAAGAAATCCCTACTTTAGAAATATAAATAACTTCAAATTCCAAAAAAAACCTTTATCAACCCGCCCACGCCCCATGCTCACACATTGGGGTGAAGGGGAAATGACTTTGCAAGTCATAATAAAGAACCCTGCTTTGCGTAGCATTATCAAAAACCTGGACACATCATGGTGGGAGAATGAAACCAATATAGCAAGAGGCACAGCAGCTGGGTCTGATATTGTGGGCGCTGGGACTTTCACATCCGCCCAGACTCCTGAAGAGTCGTGTTGTAACTGCAGTTGAGAAAACCAGCCAGGCCCTGGGATGGTGTCTGCATGCTCAGGTACCATTTCACTGCCTCCTTACCTAAGAATCCAACCCCCTTCTTTCTTTCTATTTCCTGTGTTTTCCTTCCATTTTCAGGGTTTTTACATTTAAGGAATTTTTTCTAAGTTTGTTTAGGTGTCTTATGGAACTATACTTTTAGCATTTTAAGGATTTTTTTTTTAATCCAACTCAGCAGAGGTGAACTTGTATGTCTTTATCAAATTGACAGCACCTTATGAATGGGTTTTTTTTTTCTTTTGTCCTTCTGGGTATCATTTTCTATTTTTTCTTTTGAAGACTTTGAGAATTAAATTTTTAAATCATTAAATAGCTTTAGGCAGGGGCTCTACTGATTCTTCACATCATCTACACAATGAGATATACTGGGATTGGTCAAGCTTACACATATTTTTCCCCCTTTGGATTAGTCTACACATAATTCCCTTATATGAGGGTCTAAATGTCACATCTCTAGTTGACTCTCTGTGCTTTGCTATATATTTGTTAAATGGATCCTCACTCTCCCCTGAAGTCTATTATAGACTCACACAAATCAAGATAATCCCCTCTCCTACTTCCCCTTAATATTTTCCTGTTAAAATAGAGATGGAGAAAGGATTGAGTATCTGGGTGATGTCCTACATTACCCAGAATAACCTTCATGAAGGTAACAAATATTTACTTAGTTTACTGTGTGTTGAGGTTTGTCCTAGATACTGCAAAATGCTGAAGTCATCACCACGCCTTGCTAGAGAAAAATACAATAATAGGGACTCAAGGAAATCTCAGATAAATTGAATCTTAAATCCTAAATATTTCTCCATTCAGCAATTCTTCAGGTCACTGAAAAGTGTCAGAGCAAAATGCTACCTGGTAAAACAGCAGTGAATGGTTCTTAAGGAAAAGGAAGGAGAAGTTTGGGAGCTTTGGAAAGGAAAACAAATCTGAACTTTGCCCACAGACTGAACACCTGACAGCTGAGTTGTCTCCATGGGCCCTGGGCTGGTTCACTAGCGCAACCACTCACAGCAACCAGGAAAGTGAGAACACTTGCTGTTGAAATGTCAAACAAAAACCAACCACTCTTTTAAACAACAGACTTAAAGTGCATTTTATTTTATAACATAATAGTTTGTTTTTACATCATTTTGTGCCTTTTTCCATATCAGTTGTAATCCCCGTGGGCTTCCCATCACCAAGTCTCCAGTGTGCCATCATCACCATAGTCCCGTGCACTTCCCTCCCTCCACCCCCATTTTTTATCCCATTCCCCACTCCACCCCTGTAAAATGTCTCTGGTATATAGTTGTTCACCATTATTATTTTTTTCTCGCCTGGTCCTTTATACTCCTGCTATGAGTGAAACCATCAGTATTTTTCCTTTTCTTTCTGGCTTATTTCACTAAGCATGATCCCTTCCAGCTCTATCCATGTTGCTGCAAAAGGCATGTTAAGCAACAGACTTTTAAACAGGGACACTAAAATATATGCGATTTCTAAAAACAAATTTTCTTCCTACAACTAGAAATGGAAAGTGTTCAAAGAGAAAACCACCTAAGACATATGAAAGTAAAGAAATAGCATTTAGAGTCTACTAAAAACTGCAAGAGAGGTGTCTTTACTGCAAAATGCTGAAGTCATCACCACACCTTGCTAGAGAAAAATACAATAACAGGGACTCAAAGAAATCTCAGATAAACTGAATCTTAAATCCTAAATATTTCTCCATTTAGCAATTCTTCACGTGTCTTTACTACAGACACCTAAATGTCTTCACTGTTTCTAAAGAAAATTGTCTTGGCAGAAACTAGATGCAGGAACAAAGTTCACCGGGTGTTTGCTGCACAGCTCCCTTCCCCTTAGTCCTCTACCTGGTCCAAACCCCTCTTCCAAAAGGAAGTGTGACTGTACTGGTTGAGAAGACCTCCAGGTTGAAACAAGAGTTACATTGTCCTTACCAAAGTCCAGGACCACCCTCCCACCCCTACCTGAATCTCTCATCTCCTCTCCATCACTCTTGATGTCACTTCCTCCTTTCCCTTCACACAACCTACTTGCCTTCCCTTCTCTCCCTCCTGCCCTCTGCTGTTATTGTACCACAGGTCAACCCAATAGTCCTAAACCAAAGCCCTGAACCATAGTGGGAAATGCAGTAAGATGGTGCAGGTTTATTGTTTAAATTCTGAGGAACTTTGACACTCCGAATATGAGAAAGATTAGAAATAATATTGTTAATATACCAAGTCAGGTACCTTGAAACATGATGCACAAGGAAGGCACTCAGTTTTTCTTAATACATTTCTTAAACAATAATGTAGTGCCTCAATAAACACAAAAATAATGTCACAGATGCAAGTCTGTATCTAGAGGGTGTACACATTTTTATGAAATAAATGTTATCCGCCTATTGAATTTTTTTCTTTAGATATACTTTTTTAAAACAATGCCATGGCTTGTGGGTTTTCATGGAAGACCCGTTTCTCTGCCCCCTCTGATGAATTTTTAGAGATCTTTTTAAAAGTGAAATATCAATACATTCATCAAGTTAACTAGACAAATTAGAAAAACCAGGATTTCACAAATTCACATATTTCTGAGTTAATGCTACAAAAAAAAAAGGTCTTTAAGGCCCTTCCTGGTGGCGCAGCAGGTTAAAGCACTGTACAAAGAAGCTTAAGCCACTTCCGCATGAGTTCGATTCCCGCCTGCCCCCAGAGGAGACCACATGGCGTGGCAGACCTCTCCTGACCCGCCCGCTGCACCCCTCAGCAGTGTACTTCGTTGATCTGCCTGTTCTGCTCCCCGCTCTGTCTCTGGTGAAGCCTCTCACCCTCCGCATCTCTGGCCTGTACCCCAGTTCTGTATGAATAAATAAATAAAATCTTTAAAAAAAAAAAAAAAAGGTCTTTAATACCTGTCCTAAGATGAAAAAACAAATCTGTGAGAAGCTAATAACTACTGTGTCATACCCCAAGAGGTAAAGTAAAATACAGTTTTCTTTTCCCACTTCATTCCATCTAAGTGTTAACTAGCACTTACATTTTGGAATATTTACCATGATGTTGGATATTTGATCAAACATCTCTTATATTAACCCTCACAATAACCCTTTGAAGAGGACTTCTCCCCTACCCCCCAAGAGGCAAAACTTTTTTCCAAGATGTCAGCTTTATTTACAATATTTCAACATTTGGGGTGTATAAAAAAATCACTTGAGGTCTCATTTTGCATCAAGTTTCTTCTTTTTTTTCCTCTAAGACCTAGAAAATAAAATTTTATTGCCTTGATTTATAAGTCTTCCAAAAAGAAGACAAACAATATGCTAAATTTTCAGTTAAGTTTGCCCATTTTTTTTTTCGCTATATCACTGTTGTCATCACTTACCACATGAAAGATTAAACTTTACCTTCTGTAAAAACGGTCTACATAGCAAAGAACTGGTGCCTGTCCAAACAATTTTCTGTTGTTTATGTTGACTTGATTACATTCTTAAATGGTGAAGAGGGCTTTTTAATCCCATTTAAGTTTAGAGAGATTTAAGTTTCAAAGGCCAAGTACATGGAGCAAGGAGGAAATCCCATCCCTGATTCCCTGCAGATCATTGTAGATCTTCAAACCATTACTAAAAAAATCAACCAAACAAGAAACGGAGTTTAGGACCATTTTCTGAATACATTCAAGACGAAGTCACTCTCACCAAGAGAATAGGTTTTAGGAAATATTCTTTGTTAATGGTTGTTCCCAGAGAGCTACAGAGATGATGAGGGGGAAGGATAACAGTGAGACCCCACAGTGGGGGAAGGTTGTCCTGGGTGGAGCGTCCCAGAATCCAAATCAGAATCCAAATCAGGAGTTAAAGCCCCACACTAGCATACAGGGAGTTCCACATTTCCTGCATGGTACCAAACCCAAGGCCAGTTGCCCCCTCTTAACAAAACAAAAACATGGTAGTACTGATTTTCTGCCTCTTCGTAACATGACGATGGCTTCATGACATTAATTTAAACAAAATTAAGTTTACATTTTATTTATTTATTTTTAAAGATTTATTTATTTGTGCATACAGAACTGGGGTAC